AAACAGATTAAAGCTGTTTATGACCACTGTTTAGGGATGTAGTGTAATTTTACCTTTAGAGAACTGTAGTGGAATAAAAAGTATGATTTTATTCTTAAAATGTAGTGGAGTAAAAGTAAAAAGTTTTCCAAAAAAAAAATACTACTTAATTAAAGTGCACATTCTCAAAAACTGTACTCAAGTACAGTACTCAAGTAATTTTACTTTGTTACTGCCCACCTCTGGATTCAGAGCAGGATTTAAGTCTGTTGTCACATGTCCACCAACAGATACGTTGTGTGTCGAGGCCTGAAACCCGGCTCTGATGCAGTCAGAGAGTACATGTTCAAAATCAACCTGAAACTGAACCAGCTCAAGAGCACGGACACAGATGTTATAAGCGTGGTTCCTCTGAGCATCATAAAGGAAGATACTGACTTCTACCAGTTTATGGTCAACTCTAACGAGAGGTAAAAAAAAACAAAAAGAAAGCAGTTTTCTCAGAGTGTTTAAGGACTGCGTTTAAAACAATGTGGCTGACAAAAGATGGAATTTTCCTGTGACCGCAGCCTCTGTGCTGTCCAGATCAAGGCCTTGGCCAAGATTCATGCTTTTGTCGTAGAACCGTGAGTAAGCACAACTAAAGATTAACTCTGATGTTATTGTTTTAAATAACAGGAGGATGTTTATGTCTGAAACTGACTGTGTTGAATTGTGGGAATTTGTTTAGGACGCTTTCAGAGCCGAGACAAGCTGACATCAGGAAGGAGTGTCTGAAGCTGTGGGGGGTAAGAGGAGGAACTCAAAACTAACAGACTGAAATGTTTTTTACTTGTATTTTCAAATGATGTCTATAACTTGGGTTTGTTTCTCTGTACTTTCAGGTACCAGACAAGGCCAGAGTTGCTCCTTCTTCATCAGACCCAAAATCAAAGTTTTATGAACTAATTAAGGTAAAAAAAAAAAGTTCTGCTCTGAATCATCAAATTTTTGTTGTCAGCTTATTAATAATGAAAGTCAAACAATATGAAATAACATTTACAGACATCACGCAATATTTTTTTATTTATAAAAGTAAATTAATTAACAAGCCCAATTC